GACTTTGAGATCTATGGGCCTTTGCAGACTGCCAGAAATAGTGCAAATTGAGTCCATTTTAAGGGTTAGGGTTAGTGCTAGGGAATCATGGGAACTGTATTTTTTTTCTGAGACATTGAGCCTTCTCTGTCAGAGACCTCTGGTGCCACAATAAACTACAGTTCCCATGATTCCCTAACCCTAACCCTTAAAGTGGACTCAATTTGCACTATTTCTGGTGATGCTGGATGGAAGTTAGCACCTGATCTCCACTGAGAGTACGTCTGTCCCAAACATTTCAAACAACAACTCGTTCTCCTCTTTATATTTACAGCACTCCCAGATCTGCAGTCCATTCTGCCACTTTGGTGGCAATTTTGGCCGCCAGTGGTTTATATGCCCAGTGGGGACGAGGATCTGCTCTAGTTTTTATCCTAAACTTTTAAGGGACTATTCAACTCCCTATTCAAGACATCAAACCCATGGGGGGGGGTAAGCTTTGGCAACATGGCTTGCTCCTTTCAAGTTCAAACTAAAACCCAGAGAAGATCCATCATCCCACTGAAGCAGAAGCCTATGCAGGGATGTACCCTATCTTGGCTTTGTTCTCAGCCCTGTTTCAGATCCTAACTCACAGACCCTCCACTCCTACAAACCATCCTTCATTTCTCATTTGCACGACCGAGACAGTCATCCTGCAGAATTAATGCATCACTTTAACTGCCATGGCTCAATCCTATGGAATTCTGGGATTTGTAGTTTGGTGAGCTATGTAGTGCCCCAACAAATGACGAACCCTAAGATTTCATAGGATGGAGCCATGACAGTTACAGTAGTGCCAAACAGCATTAATTCTGCAGTGTGGCAACCCTTCTGGTCTATTGTATTACAGGGCTGTTGTTTGAATTCAAAGACCTAGCTGTCTTGGAAAACCAGTATGCAAAGGGATCTTGCAGCACCTTTGAGACTAACTGAAAGAAGGATGTTGGTAGCATGAGCTTCTGTAGGCCACCATATGTAGACCACCAAGGGCATGGCCACCATATGCATCTGAGGAAGTAGACTTTGGTCTAGGAAAGCTCCTGCTGCCAACTTCTTTCTTTCAGTTAGTTCCAAAGGTGCTACAAGATCTCTCTATGTACTGATTCTACAAACTTAACATGGCTATATCTTTGAAAGAAAGAGAGAAGTTGGTTGCATGAGCTTTCATAGACTTGAGTCTTAATTCCCCAGATGCTGTTGTTTGCAGCACTGAGATTATATCCCAGGGATGGCCAGATGCAAAGCATGACAGGGCTCTGTATCTTTAATAGTAATACCTAGACTTGTACCCTCCCAATGTTTTTTCCCTGACTACAACTCCCAGAAGCCCTGATTGTTGGCCATGCTGGCCAGGACTCCTGGGAGGTGAAGTGCACAAACACCTAAGGAACCAAGAGTATGAAGCGTAGGTGCAAAAGGGGGGATTTCAGCAGGAATCGCTTACAGTGCAAGTTGCATCTGCTGAAATAAAGTATTCCTCTGTGCAATTGTTAGAAGCCCTAGATCAGGAGTAGGCAACCTTTCCCCTTTAAAGGCCGAGGGACTTCAGCTCCCAGAATCCCAGGAGCTATTGGCCAACATGGGACTATTGTCCAACATGGCTGAGGCTTTTGGGAGCTGAAGTCCCTCAGCCCTTAAAGGGGAAAGGTTGCCTACCCCTGCCCTAGATTCTTGTCGTCTTTTGGGCTTGGTCATTTGGGGTGAAGTGCCAACATACTATAGTTGTTCTGAGTGTTGGAGTGGGACTCCAGGAGACTAGGGTGCGAATCCCCACACAACCATAGAAACCCAGTGGGTGATCTTGGACAAGTCCCACTCTCTCAGCTTCAGAGGAAGGCAAGGGCAAACCTCCTCTGCCAAGAAAAACACTACGATAAGGTTTCCAAAATTCAGAGTCTGAAGATGTTAAATGCCCTATGCCACTGTTGAAGAGGTAATGATTTCCCGATCTCCCCATCTGGGCACTGGTTAAGCTGCACCAGTTGAACTTCTGCACGCCCCAAATCTGTGCAAGACCCAGAGGCCCTGACAAGAAAAAAGCCACCATCTTTATCTTGTTTTTTTTTCCCAAGAGACATTTGGGAGGAACTAAATCTGATTTTTCCAGCTCCCCTTTCACACCAAACCTCCCAAGCAATGGATCTGTTTTCCAGAGATAAAAGTTCTTGGGATGCATTCCAAGCCTTTCCTAGCATTTTTTGGGGGGAAAAGTGTTCCTGTTGCTTTAAATGAACCCAGGGCTTCATCTTCAGGTGGAGTCAGTTCTTGCTGGGTTATAAATTTGCTGGGAGGAGGGAAAGCAGCTGTTTTGCTGGAATCTTAAGCACCCAGAATCATTATGGTAAGCCTGCAACATTGTACTTTTTCTCTGGGACAGATTTTAATGCTAACTTGCAAATGTGTTGCATTGATTTCCTCTGAAGTGTGTTTGTGTGTGTAACTTTTTGGAGTTGATCAACTTTCTCTAGAAAAGTTATTGATGAGGGTAGTGGAGTGCCTTGGACTGAGCTTTGCTCCTTATAAGGTAAAAGCGAGGCTGCAGCTTGCAAAAGGACATTTTGGAGAGGGTCTTTCCCTCCCAGCCTTTTATTCATGTATTTCCCTCCTTATCTAGGGGCTTGGGCTGATCTTCTTGCAAAGTTACAGATCTGCTTCCTGACAGCTGAGGTCTTTCTTTTTTTTCCTGCTTGGATTTTTCAGGGGATCAATGTGTGATAAAGTCCCTTTCTTTTTTCCTATTTTTTTCCTTTTCAGTCTTTTGCTCTCCTGCCCTCTCTACTCTCCATTCTTTCACACTTCAGTTGTGGACAGGGTTAGGTAGGAATCTACTGTACTTGTGCACACTGCCCACCCCCCCTTTTCCTTCCCTATATAGGAGGAAACTGCCATATTGCCTTTGTCTACTGTAATCCCAGGGGCTGATATGCTAAAAGAATCAGAAAAGCATTTCTGGTGCAAAATGCTTTTCATTTTTTCAGTGCTGCAGACAGTTTCCAACTAGAAAGTGCTTTGCTGAAAGTTCTGGGAAACTTTCCAGTTTCTGATGTTTGCATTTATGTTAATGAACTAAATGGATTTAATGACTGACTGGGGCTGGAGGGAGGAAAAGAATATTTTTTCCTCCGGTGCAGAATGTTGTTTTTTTTCTGTGGCTGAGATCCACTGCAGATCCTGATCCAGATCCTGAGCAGCCCCCCCCAAAAAAGTTGGTGGGTCACTTCTGTTTCTTGTGTTGCTGGACCATGACTTTATCTCTCTCCATGCCAAAATTTTGGATGCAAAGATCTATTGCTCTCTGTGATCGGTTGACCCCATTGAATATTTTGCACAGGAGTTTAAACTGGAAAGTCAGCCAGTGGTTTTGTCTCGGCTCTGACAAACTGAGAAAGATTGGTCTTTTATGGTCAAGGAGCGGAAAGCAATTCTGGATTTTTGGATCGCTGGCACGATGCAAGGCAACAATGGTCTCAAGGTGGGGATCTTTGGCTGTTCCAAAGTGGCTCCATTGCAGGAATGCCAGCCAGGCCGCTGTTAAGGAGCAGGTGGCACTGCACTTGGCCAACACTTGCGCCACTTGGGCACCGAAGGCCATTCTCTGCTCACCGAGAGGAATGTCCACTTCTGAGAGGTTCTGGCAAACTGGGAAAGAAGAGTCACCATCCAAGCTCCTTTCCTGCAGAGATGGGTGGAGTGGGGAAGAGAGCAGGGAAGGATGGCAGCATGCCACAGGGAGACGTAGAACAGCCTCCAGGTCGAAGGGGGGTTGCAGATGGCCAGAAATAGTGCAAATCGAGTCCACTTTTAGGGTTAGGATATCATGGGAACTGTATTTTATTGTGGCACCAGAGCTCTCTGACAGAGAAGGCTCAATGTCTCAGGAAAAAAAAACACAATTCCCATCATTCCCTAGCACTAACCCTAACCCTAAAAGTGGACTCAATTTGCACTATTTCTGGCAGTCTGCAACCCCCTTGAGTCTCTGGAGACTCTGGACAGTAGCACAGGGGGAAAGTCTGAAGCTCAGGCCCTCGTCCTGACAATCCTCAGAGCCACATCCGCCTAAGAGGGTCCAAAAAATGCAGATGCCTGTGTGGCTCCATCTCAGCAGAGCCAGTTAGAATTATAGAACTGGGAGATACCCCCAAGGGTCATCCAGTCCAACCCCCCGTTCTGCCATGCAGGAACTCATAATCAAAGCACCCTCGACAGATGGCCATCCAGCCTCTGTTTAAAGAAGGAGACTCCACCACTTTCCAAGGCAGCACCTTCCACTGTCAAACAGCTCTTGCTGTCATGAGGTTCCTCCTAATATTGAGGTGGAATCTGTTTTCCTGTAGTTTGCATCCGCTGCTCTGGGGCCTGTTCTCTAAAGCAGAAGAAAACAAGCTTGCTCCCTCATCAATATGACACCCTTTCAAATATTTAAAGAGGGCTATCATATCACCTCTTAACTGTCTCTTCTCCAGGCTAAACATACCCAGATCCCTAAGTTGTTCCTCATAGGGATTCATGGTTTCCAGACCCTTTACCATTTTAGTCACCCTCCTCTGGACATGCTCCAGCTTCTCAATATCCTTTTTGGATTGTGTTGCCCAGAACTGGGCACAGGATTATTCCAGGTGAGGCCTGACCAAAACAGAATAGAGTGGCACTATGACTTCCCTTGATTTAGACACAATACTTCTATTGTTGCAGCCTAGAATCGCATTGGCTTTTTCAGCTGCCGCATCACACTGTTGACTCATGTTCAACTTGTGGTCTACTTGGACTTCTAGATCCCTTTCACACTTAGTCTTGTTAAGCCATCCTATATCTATATCAATTCTAGGAGTTCTCATTGGAGCAGGCCTTTTGTAAAGCTAATGGGTCTTAGACTGCATCTGCGCTGCAGAAATAATGCCACTTGACAAAACTTTAACTGGCATGGCTCAATGTGATTGAATTCTGGGATTTGTGGTTTGCTTGGGTGCCATAAGAGAGCTAGCATGGCATAGTGGTTTGAGTGTTGGACTATGACTCTGGAGATCAGGGTTTGAATCCCTGCTCGGGTACGAAAACCTACTGGGTGATCTTGGGCAAGTCACATGCTCTCAGCCTCAGAGGATGGCAATGGCAAACCCCCTCTGAACATATCTTGCCAAGAAAACCTGGTGATAAGTTTGCCTTAGGGTCGCCATAAGTTGGAAACGACTTGAAGGCACATAACAACAGCAACAACAATAACAAGCTCTGACAGAGAATGCTAAATAGTTAAAGTAGTGCCAAAATGCATTATTTTTGCAGTGTGAATGCAGATGCACTACAATGGGGGTAGCTCATGGGAACATATATCATGGCTGGGAAAATCAGTACTAGGAGTGATGGATGGTATAATTTGGGTAGTTTTTACCTTTATGAGGAACAGGCCTTTTGTAAAGCTAAGGGGTCTTAATAGCCTATTACAACTGGTTGTTTGCCTTCTAATCATTTCCAGCTTATGGCAGCCTTGGAGCAATTGTGCAAGATTGGTTCAGAGCTGAGAGAGCATGACTTGCCCAAGGTCTCTTAGTGAATTTCCAAGGCCAAGCAGGGATTTGAAACCTGTTCTTAGGCCAACACTCACACCACTGTAGTATGCTGGCTCTTCACTGCTCTGGCCAAATGTAGAAGAGGACAGGGCTCCTATGCTTTTAATAGCGCTCTGCAACTGGGATGGTTCACAACAATATACTTTTGCTCAGGAAAATCGAGTGCTAGGAGTGACAAATGACAAATAATTGTTCCTACTAACCAAAACATCCCAGGTCTCCAACCTTGGCTCAAACTAAGCATCAAGCAAGCGCATTGTAGAGCATTGGTTCTACTTGAACTGCCATGGGATTCAAAGATATAGCCATGTTAGTCTGTGGAATCAGTCTGTAGAGAGATCTTGTAGCACCTTTGAGATTCAGTGAAAGAAAGAAGTTGGCAGCATGAGCTTTCATAGATTTAAGTCTGCTTCTTTCCACCAAGTGCATCTGAGGAAGTAGACTTTGTCTACAAAAGCTCCTGCTGCCAACTTCTTTCTTTCAGTGAGTCTCAAAAGTGCTGCAAGATCTCTCTACATACAATGGGCTTGTAGGATTTGTAGTTTGCTGAGCCAAGGTTGTGTAGTGTTTGGAACATTAGGCTACAACTCTGGAGACCAAGGTTTGGATCTCCACTCACCCCTGGAGGTGACCTTGGGCAAGTCACACTCTCTCAGCCTCAGAAAACCGTGCAATAGGTTCGCCTTATAGTCACCTTAAGTCGGATACAACGTGAAGGCATACAACAACAATGAGGCATTAGTGTACTCCCACAGATAACTCTTAGGTATCCCACAAAACTGCAGATCCCAAGGTTCTATGGGACAGAGCCATGAGAGTGAAAATAGGACCAGAATCCTATAATTGTCTAAGCGTAAAAGAGACCTGTTTCTATTTTACTCTCCTCTTGAGCCACTTTGCTGGATGGCCATCTGTTGGGGATGCTTTGATTGTGAGTTCCTGCATGGCAGGGGGTTGGACTGGATGGCCCTTGGGGTCTCTTCCAACTCTAGGATTCTTTGATTCTATGATTCATAGCCTGGCAATTTTTAATATTTGGAACAACAGTGCCCACAACCCCCTTCCCAGCCTGTTTGGCCGCTGGCGAAGCAGACCGGGGATGCTGGGTGTTTTAGTCCAAAAGAGGACATTCTTCCAGACTTTGGAATCCATGGAAGGGGAAGGACAGAAGGATGGAGCTCCAAACTGGATGACCCCTGTATTGATGCTGCATAGACTGCTGTTGCGTTCCCATTTGTGAGTCATGAAGAAGCTAGTTGTGGTTTGATGAATATCGGAGAAGTCTGTGGCCTGCTGCAGCCATCTCTCCCGCGGATGAAGAAACGTCTTTTCAAGGGCACACTTGTGTCATGGTTGTGGTATCTGAAATATGTCGGGCAATTTAATGGGGTTTCCACCTGTTCCTGAGGGGGTCTCGTCTCTCGGAGTAATTCTGGGCTCTGAACCAAAGCTTTTCAATGGCTCACTCCGCGTCTCTTTCATAGAATCATAAGGTTGGAAGAGACCCCAAGGGTCATCTAGTCCAACCCCCCTGCCATGCAGGAACTCAAAATCAAACTCCTCTTTCATAGAGGAGCTGAACCAGAGCCGTAGTCGAATGCGATTGAACAGCAGTAACTTCAGGGACAGGTGAATTGAGGAGAGGGCTTTTCTTTCCACAGCATGCTTGTGGCTTGCAAGGGTTCCTTTCAGAACTGTAGAGCTCAGACGCTAAATATTATGCTACTAAGAAAAAGTACAAATCCAGAATCAGTACGTCAAATAGAGCCTTCCTCGACTCTTGTTCCTATGCATCCTTTCTCACTGCACTGAGTGTGTTTGGAAAAGTCAATTTGGACCTTATCACATGGAAACAAATTGCTTAAATCCCATGCAAAAACGGGATTTAAAAATAAATAAATAAACCCCCGCAAAATTGGGTTGTTTTTCAGATGTATCTGTGTAAAGGAGAAATAACGCAACATTAACAAATAGAAAGTCGCCAAACCCAATCCTTTTTACTTTCGGAAATTCCCAAATGTTAAAAAGGAGCAGGTTTTGGTGACTTTCCATTCAGATTAATGTCGCATTATTCCTCGATGCCAACGTCATCTGAAAAACAACCTGCTTTTGCAGGTTATTTCTACTTTATGTTCAGATTAACCCTGAACGTCGTGTGAAAAACAACCTGCTTTTGCTGGTTGTTTTCACTTTAAATCCAGTTTCTGCATGGGATCTGTCCTGTGTGATAAACTCCTTTATTAGAAGACAGCTCCCAGAATCCCTTAGCCAGTGTGCCCATGGATTTAGGGTTGCTGAAGGATTCTGGGAATGATAATTCCAAAACAATTTTCCCCAGCTCTCAACACTTTTTTAAAATGCTGCTATCTGTCAGGGGAGCTTTGACTGTGTCTTCCTGCATGGCAGAATGGGGATGATGGCCCTTGAGGTCTCTTATGGTTCTACCCAACTAGTCTGTCTTCTTTTTATTTTCTGGATTGTGCTGGATTTCAACCCTTTTATCCTTCCCCATGCACCAGCATTCCAAAACATTATCCTACCATTACACTGGGCCCACCACATCCGCTGATGTTAGGGGCACAGGACCCCCATGAAAATGGAAAATCTGCAAATAAAAAACCACTATTCTTTTTACGTGAAAGAACACCTCTCTAGGAATCTCTAGGTCAGTGATTGCAAACCTTTTAGAGACCGAGTGCCCAAACTGCAACCCGAAACGTACTTATTTATTGCAAAGTGCCACATCCCTCTGGTTTTCTAGTAAGGAACTCTGTGCTGTGGCAACAGCGCATGTGTCCGCAGAGAGGACTCTGAGTGCCACATCTGGCACGCGTGCCATAGGTTTGCCACCACTGCTCTCGGTCCTCCAGTGCAACTCTCTAGTCAACATCTGCCAAAAGTTGGCCATAGACTCATGCAGGAGGGCCTACGAATGCCTACACAAGTGTTTTTCTCTCGTAATTTCTAGGTCCTCCAGTGCAACTCTGTTATGGTCAATGTCTGGCAGAGTTGCGCTGAAGGGCCTAGAGCAGGGGTTGGCAACCTATGGTCCAGGGGCCGCATCCGCCCCCAGGCCGGTCCCGCCACCGCCGCCACCACCACACACGCTGCTGCCGCACATGTCGCAGTTGCCATTTTGTTTTCCAAAATGGCGGTTGTGACTCGCTCACGCATGCGCGGCACCATTTCCCCCCCTCGGCCCGTGGAAGACCGGAGGAAGACCTTACCGGCCCCAGGTAAGAAAATGTTGCCAACTCCTAGCCTAGAGATACCTAGAGAGAACATACAGTGGGCCCTCGATAGCTGTGAGCTTGCAATCTGCAGATTTAACCGTCCATGGTCAGCAAGCCTCATTGCCTTCAATGGGAGCAAGTGCATGCAGCCATGCGCATATTGTGCCTGCCACTGAAATCAATGGGACTTGAGATCCCACGTTTTTCTTTATCCGTGTGTATGGGGGGGGGGAGATTCCCCAGGCCAATTGCAGCCTCAGGATTCTTCTTCTGGGCTGCAAGCTCTATCCTTCACCCTTGTGCAATACAGCCAAATAGCATTTACAGTCGGCCCTCTGTTTTTGCAGGGAATCTGTTCCGGACCTCTCTGCGAAAATGGAGATTTGCAAATATTCAAGCCTCATATGCTTGAATGGAGCACACCCCCAC